TAATATGAACTTATACCTTTCTTTTCTCATTACAGTATGAACACATTAAATTGTCAAATAAATACCTAGCGTTTCACATGGGTACAAGATAATATGAACTTATACCTTTCTTTTCTCATTACAGTATGAACACATTAAATTGTCAAATAAATACCTAGCGTTTCACATGGGTACAAGATAATATGAACTTATACCTTTCTTTTCTCATTACAGTATGAACACATTAAATTATCAAATAAATACCTAGCGTTTCACATGGGTACAAGATAATATGAACTTATACCTTTCTTTTCTCATTCCAATATGAACACACCATTTGTTTTTTTTTATAATGGCAATGAACTCTAACGGGTAAACGTTTTACCTGTGCTAAAAATCTGTATCAAAACGATGTTCAAGAATATAATAGATATTCTGTTCTCATGCCTTTTAATAGTTAATGGTGTTTTAAATCTGTGTACTTGTAAGTCACGATGCACCACAGTACAGATAACGTATTCGACAGTGGTTAAATAACTTTTGCTGCACCTCACTATCATTTATCTTAACAAATTTACATGACTTGATCTTATACGGGGCGATGCAAAAAAACTATACGTCCTTCCTTACAACTGTTGAAAATGTGATCCGTTGATATCACAACGCAACGGTAATTTTTCGCTTTGATTGCGGCTCACTTCCATTCATTATTGCAACTATTTTAATGCGAAATGTTTATTGTTACTAACGCATAACTGACTATAAACTGTTTTATATATCTGTTGTAAAATTGATGATTATTTTTTGATGATATTAAGTGATAGAACTTCAAAACGTACAGCTGTTTGTAGTGAATTCCAAGCGTAGAGCGTCAAACAAATGATAGTAGGTCTGATAGGTTTGTAAAATTATTTCAACAAAAGCAATAATAACCAAATTTGCACAAAACTTTAAGCGTGTACATAATTCTTTATTTTTTGTTTTCAAAAGTGTGTTGGTAGCATAATAAGTTTTTCATGTTGGTGTCTACTGTAGCTATGATTTTATATTTAATGCAAGAATACAAGAAAAATTTAAAAAGAAAATTAATAATATTAACTTGTCAACTGAGCGAAATATTAATAATAGGTAAGTAAACAACGATTTATAAGCACAAGGAAAAGTTTTAGTGTTGGTGGAACATACTATATATTTCGACAAAAACGTGGTCTGTCTTCTTGAGGTATGAACGAAAGATTGATTTAAATAGTTATCATCATCAACGCCATTATAAAGATGTTTATCAAAATATATTAAGATTAGAATGATATCGTGATGTTATATGATGGATATGTGTGTGTTATAATTCATATTTGTATATAATATTATTTTACAAAGCATTTATATAAAATTGTAAACAATTAATAAATATGTAATTTTACGATCAATATTAAATCACTTGATCATCCAAGCTATCAATACATAGTAAAACACATGTTTAAGATTATATAACTGAACATAAACGTTAATTCTGTTATAAAACTGAACATAAACGTTAATTCGATTATATAACTGAACATAAACGTTAATTCGATTATATAACTGAAAATAAACGTTAATTCTATTATAAAACTGAACATAAACGTTAATTCGATTATATAACTAAACATAAACGTTAATTCGATTATATAACTGAACATAAATGTTAATTCGATTATATAACTGAACATAAACGTTAATTCTATGATATAAGAATTAACGTTTATGTTCAGTTATATAATCGAATTAAAGTTTATGTCAAAGATCTTCGATACTGTCATACCATTTTCTTTTTTTTTTGTCAGCTCACAAAGTGTTAATAATTAAACTCCATTCTTCAATCTTACAATAAATAATTATTAATTTAATGACAATGATTAGCAACAGTGTGAATATAAAAAGCACACAATATTCACACACAATATTTTTGTACAAAAAGACGATTTTATTTTCTCAAATGAAATACAAATTGAACTTAAAATATCAATCCAATCCATGTTTATAAGCAAAAGATAGTTTGATATTATTTATAATATATTTAAAAAATTTTTGTTAATCCTCACGTTTATGTGGAAATAAACTTATTTCATTGAGTTTGTATATACAACACTACATACAAATACCACAAAAAATATGTTCAAACTCCATTTCATACGAAAAACATCATATTTTGTTATTTGTTACAAGTTATATACACCAAAGATTGATAAAACACAAAATACAATAAATAACCTACT